TGAAAAACACAGCACATTGCAGTACAGTCCAGTGAGATCAGGGTGAAAGCACAGTACAGTGCAGTAAAACCCAATGAGATCAGGGTAAAACTGAAGTATAATCAAAGAATCACAGTGAATTCAAAATTAAGGTAAAACACAGTATTGTAAATCCCCAAGATACCACAGTCATGGTAAAAACACAGCAAAAGTGGAGTGAAACCTTAGTAAAAGCAAAATAATACATGATAATAATTATGCAGAATCATTTTGATGTCCCTTATTTATATATCCTGGTACTCTCACCAACAGTAAAAAGCTTATCAACTCATTTATATTTGGAGACACTGATTCTTCGTAGAATCTTATGGTAGGAGTATCTGTATTCCGATTATTAGTATTATAACCAACTATTTAGAACAAGAAGTCATGAGCGTATTTATTAAACCCTCCCCCCCGTCTCACTCTGCCTCTCTTTCCCAGGTGTGTAATTTCTGCAATGTCTGTCCAGTATGTGACACTGTCTGCAAGCCAGGTGAGTCAACAGGCAGAGTGCAGTCCTGGTTTCCAGGGATACAGGGTATTCTGGGAAACCAGAGCTGGGCACTCAGGGTCTGTGTGTCTGAAGAGTTGTCAGAAAGCCTCTGAATTCTAGGAATTCTCTGAGAATGAGTTGGGAGGCCTCTATCAAACACAGAGCTGCTCTTTGGGGTGGTGGGTGGGACATAATCACTGACTCCAACATCGGCTGCTCTGGTCTGACCTGTCCTGTGCTCTCTGTCTCCCCAGGTGGATACGTCGATGAGCTCACTGGGACCCTCTATCAGTAAGCTTTTGCCTTTTTCCTCTCTAATACTTTTCTTATGCAAGTTTACTATGATTTTTGAAATTGTTTTAAAATCACATTAAGGTGTAGTAAAGCATGATGAAATCACAGTATATTGTAGTAAACAGGACAAGGCAGGCAGTGAGTTATGTGTCAGCATTCAGATCTCTGTTTTCATGAAGAAGCACAGGAAAAGTGCTGATACTTCTGAGAAAGCTCTCACCAAACTCACAGGAGGAACCTGAATGCCTGGAAAAGCTGGTTTGGAATGTCAGATGTAATGATTAAGGATATCTGTTGCCACACAGTCTTCCGTGTGTGACTGTGCCTGACCAGCTTGGGTGAAGTCTCTCAGGTGGGGTCACTGGTGCAGAATGATCACTGCG